TTATTGTTCTTATGTGCCTTAGAGTCGGACGGACTCATAGCAATCCCTTCTTGGGTTTCATTAGTCATTAGGCAAATGCAAATCAAAATCAGAACAAGATACCACTTCATACCACTAAACCAAAACAAACTCACTGCCGTCAAGTTGGTCCCAACTCATAGTGACCTGTCCTTGGGTTTCTGAGGCAGTATCTCTACAGAAGTAGATTGCCCAGTCTTCCTTTCAAGGAGTGGCTGGTGGGTTTGAACTGCCAGCCTTCTGGTTAGCAGTCAAGTGCCTTAGGCACTATGCCACAGAGCTCCCTCATACCCACTGTTGTTGTTGTTGTTACGTGCCATCAAGTCGGCCTCGACTCACAGCAACCCCTCCTTGGGTTTCCGAGGCAGTATCACTACGGAAGTAGATTGCCCAACCTTCCTTCCAAGGAATGGCTGGTGGGTTTGAACCACCAGCCTTCTGGTTAGCAGTCAAGTGCCTTAGGCACTAAGCTACCAGAGCTCCCTCATACCCACTAGGATAGCTATAATAAAAAAGACAGACAATAAAAAGCAGTGCACGGACGTGAAGAAGTTGAAACTCTCATACATTGCTGGGGAGATTTTTAAAGGGCATAATAACTTTGGAGACACTTTGAAGTTCCTCAAATGTTATAAGTTATCATATACCCTAGATATATACCTGAAAAAAAAAAAGAAAAGAAAACATATCTCCAGAGAAAATCTTGTACACACATTTTCATAGCAGCATTATTCATATCCATCATTCATGAATGGATATATAAAATATGGTACATATATGCAATGGAGTATTATTCAGCCATAAAAAGGAATGAAGTATTCTACAATATGGATGAACCTTGAAAACATGGTAAATGAAAGAACCTAGTCACAAAAGACCACATATTGTATGACTCCATTTACATATTTTTCAGAAAATACAAAATCATCTCTAGTGAGCAAAAGTTGACCACTGGCTGCTGGGGCCCAGGGTCAAGGGAGGGAAGACAGTAAAGGGGCACAAGGAATCTTTTGAGGGTGATGGAAATGTTCTGTATCTTGATTATGGTGGTCTTTCCCAGGTATGTATCCTTCACATTTGTCACTGAATTCAGGTTAAATGGATGCAGTTAATTGTATGTAAATTACACCTCAATAATGTTATTTTTTTTAAGTCATGAGAATCAATAAAAAATGAATGGCATTAACAATTTGTAACTTTGCACATCAACTGTTTGTGCAAATAGTGCTTAGAAGCTGCTCAGTAGTGTGTATAAATAGTTTTTTCCATAGGTAGTTCAGGCATTCATCTCAATTTTGTGATTAATCAGGCTGAGAAAACTCACATACTAAAATCCAGACTCACTGCCATCAAGTTGATTCAGACTCACAGTGACCACCATTGGATTTCCAAGGCTATACATCTATATGGAAGTAGACTGTCTCACCTTTTTTCCATGGAGAGCCTGGTGAGTTCAAACCATTGATCTTTGGTTAGCAGCCAAATATCTTAACCACTGCAACACCAGAGCTCCTGGAGAAAACTCATATAGTGCCTTCCAAAGGTTAATTTGAGCCCATCTCCTCTGAATTACTAAAAATTCTGAATTTTAACATGAAGTCCATGTTAATTTTTACTGTAATTTCAAGGGAGGTTAAAAAAAGAAAAAAAAAAAAAACTTTGATCAAAAACCTCAGTGAGCGAGTTGGGATAGCTTTGCTAAACACATGACTTCAAAGCTTGGTTTTCAGACTGGTTCCATTACAGACTCTTTCCTGCTTCATGACAACCTATCTTGACATAAAGTTCTGCTGGTAAGCATATACATCTAAGTTGCTTAGAAAGGCAGAAATTAAATCTACTTGCACTTTATCTCATAAGATTAAATGACACACTGATAAAATTATATAAATGTCTATAAATAAAGAAACCAGTATTCACTGAGGATCTACTATTTGACAGATTATTCCCCACACATTTTTCCCACGCAATACCCACTGCTGTTGTTAGTTTCTCTTGAATTAATTATGACTCATGGAGACCCATGAGTGTCAGAGTAGAACTGCTCCATACAGTTTTCAAGGATGTGACCTTTTGGAAGCAGAATGCCAGGCTTGTCTTCTCAGGCACCACTGGGTGGGTTCAAATGCCAACCTTTCAGCTAGGAGTCAAGCGCTTTACCATTTGTGCCACCCAGGGATTCTGATACCCATGACGGCCCACTAATGTAAATATGGGAGCTCTTGTAGCATAGTGCCTAAGGCACTTGACTGCTAACCAGAAGGCTGGCGGTTCAAACCCACCAGCCACTCCTTGGATGGAAGGTTGGGCAATCTACTTCCGTAGTGATACTGCCTGGGAAACCCAACAAGGGGTTGTTATGAGTTGGGTCCAACTCGACAGCACATAACAACAACAACAATAATGTAAATACTAGTATTCTCATTTTTCTCCCCCAAAGAAACTGCTACTCAGAAAGGTCAAGTTATTTGGCCAAATTCACCCAACTATTAAGAGACAGAACTGAGATTTACATATGTGGCTTACTTTTAACTGATTTACTTAGTTGTAGTTCCATAAACAGAAAACTAAAGCAAATAAATACATATAGCTTTGGATTCAATTATCAGTGCTTTTCTTAAATTGCCAATTAAAAAGCACACATTTAAACATGCATTTTCTGGGGCTTTTACTAATCACCAAAGTGTCATTTTCTTCTTCTTGGACAGTCAGTATTTGATGGAAAAGTGATTATTAACCTGTTTCTTTATGAGTAGACTCTATGTAAAACAAAGTCACATAAGCATCTGAGGCATACCTCAGATTTGGGGAGATGCACTCTTCTTTAGGAAGAATCAGCAATGTGGAAAACTATAAAATAAACAGAAGACTGCACTTGTAACTGAGGAACTGGGGGTATGGGGGAGATGGTTTAGTGGTAGAATTTCCTTGCCTTACACACGAGACACAGATTCTATTCCCAGCCAATGTACTTCATGTGGTGCCACCACCCATCTATCAGTGAAGGCTTGGTATTGTTATGATGGGGAACAGGTTCTACCAGAGTTCCCAGACTGAGGCTAAGATGGACTAGCAAAAAAATTCAGCCTCTGAAAACCCTATGGGTCACACTTGTCTGATTCCATTGTGTATGGGGTTACCCTGAGTCAGGGGCCAACTCAATGGCAGCTAACAACAGTTGGGGAGTTAATATGGAACCAAATATCAAAAATTGTTTATACTGGCAACCTCATGGATGGCTATTCAAATATGTAATACTGATGGTCTCTTCCTAGGACTGTCATTTGACCTCCAGAAGAATAAACTCACTCACTGCTGTTGAGTCAGATCTGACTCATACCGACCCCTCCTTGGGTTTCCAAGGTGGTATCTCTATGGAAGTAGATTGTCTAGTGTCCCTTCCAAGGAGAAGCTGGTGGGTTTGAACCACCAGCCTTCTGGTTAGCAGTCATATGCCTCAGACACTATGCCACCAGAGCTCCCTCCAGAAGAATAGCAGAGAAAAAATGATACATAATGCTTTCAGTTTGGACACTTAAAAATATTTATACAAAGAAATCATAACCAACTGAAAATACTGTAAAGACAATGAAGGA